TTTTAGGCAGGGTCATCTTAATAGCATCATGGGCCCCTGGGCAAAGTAATGCATTGGGGCCCCTACTAGCTAGACTGTCCAAATTTACATACCTCTCAAGAATTAAAGTATAAATAGTTGATAGAATTAAACATATATTTATTAGTACTTTAAATGAAATACATTTTAAACAAAAATGTACCATAAGTACCATAAACCAAAGACTAATCACCACAAAAGTCGAGGGGGGGGGGTGGTTCAGTAAGAGGGGGGGGGATCAGGAGGGCACAACACTGGAACACAGTACAAGTTCCAGGACGGTGCCTAGGACATGGCCATCCCAGGACAGCTTAGTAAAAAGCATGACTGCCCCAGCAAATCCAGGACAGTTGGCAAATATGATGTAATGCAAAATTATCTTGGGGTCCCCATACACCTGGGGCCCCTGGGAAGTGCCCAGGGGTGCCCATGTATTAAAACAGCCTTGGTTTTAGGTATACTTTAATGAGACCCTGTCATTTTCCCCAGTTAGGGTAAAGGGACAATTTCAACATATAGTCCACCCCCTCAGGATTTCATACTTACCGAGTTACTCTCCCATATGGCCTCCTTACTACAGCAACCCAATCTATATCATTTTGGGTATACAGTAGCATGAGACTCTGTACTTGGTATTTGGTCTTGAGCTGTCACATGAGGGCGAGTTTTTGTTGGTTCTAACCAGTGTGTATTGGAACTCACCCAGGGTTGTCGTTCCTTACTAGCTGAATATAGGGGAAAGAGAGCAAAGGAAAGGTAAGTACAGTATGTGCTTCCGGGGAAAGGGACATTAAAATGAACCCATTGCTTTGCCTTTCATATACCAATCACAGGTTCACTTTAAATATTTTTTAATGGCTAATGTGCTGCTATTTTATCTCAGATTAGCTATTGAAAATAATAATAATGGAATGCATCATTTGTTGTTGGCAGTAAAGTGCAAGACATCACCCAATAGTAAGACATCCATCAGTTTGGAATATACAGAACAACAGAAAAAATGTTTAACCACTTGACCTCCAGACGGTTGTATCCCCTTCATGACCATGGCATTTTTTTAATGGGCAGCACAGAGGCTAAATGGTTAACACTTCCGCCTGGCAGTACTAGGGTCGTTCGTTCAAATCCCAACCACAGCATCATCTTTCTGGAGTCTGCATGTTCTTCCTGTGCCTACGTGGGTTTCCTCCAGGTACTCCAATTTACTCCCACACTCCAAAGACATGCTGGTAGGTTAATTGGATCCTGTCTAAATTGGCCCTAGTATGTGTATGTATGAATGTAAGTTAGGGACCTTAGATTGTACACTCCTTGAGGATTAGGGACTGATGTGAATTTACAATATATATATATGTAAAGCTCTGCATAAATTGATGGCACTATATAAGTACCTGTAATAATAAAATAAAGAAATGTTTTGCTTTTCAGCACTGTGCTACTTTAACTGGTAATTAACAAATGGAGCTTTCTCTTGGTGGTGTTTAATCACCACTGTTTTGTTTTCTTCATCGTATAAATGAAAGGAATACCAAAAGTTTTGAAAAAAAATGTGTTTCTCTTAGTTTCTGTTTTAAAATTTTGCAAATAAATACATTTTTTTACATTTCTTTGGTAAAAATAACCCAAATCAGTGTATATTATTTAGTTTAAGTGAAAGATATAGAGTCAAGCTATTGTATATATATTTGAGAATTGATCCGTCCTGATGTACTGATGTTCTCATTTCTTGAGACCCTTAAAATGCCAGGATAGTGAAATCCTTTTGGATGGCCCTACTATTTTAGAAGCCATTTCACATTCATTACAATTTTACTTTAAAACAAATTCCTCTGGGGATGTGTCCCCACACGCAGTCTGGGATGGTCACAAAGCTGTGATTAGGGGAGAACTGATTTCTCACAGTTCTTGGGTCAAAAAAGAAAAACAAAAAAAGATTTTGAAGTTATTAGAAAAAGTTCATGCCCTTGAAGATAAGACCCTGCAGACTCCCAGAGTTTGGACTCTCTATGTACCTCCCTATCCCACTATCTTGATCATAGAGCCAGGGACAAACTTAGATTCTATGTCCTCTGCTTTTAAGAGCATGGGGACTAGTGCAGCCGCCTATTGGCTAGGATGTTGAATAAGCAACAGGCCTGGATACTTAGGAACAATAGGGATATCATTGGGATCGGCATTGGCTCTATGGAGCATTAATTATCGGCTTATGTCGACGACCTCCTTTTCTATCTTTCACAACACCATACTGTATTTCCTTTTCAGTGCTAATGGAGGAACTACACAGGTTTGGCCTAAGGTCAAATATTAAAATCAATTATAGTAAATCTGAGCTTTTACCAACCCATGTTCCATCAGCCATGTTGTGTCAATGCAACAATCCTTTCAGTTGGTATGACGGAAGGGATCACTTCCATACTCAGGAACCTACATTTCATTGGATCCACAACTTCTGTATGAACTTAATTACAGAAAACTATTGGACAGAGTGCCAGGGGATTTGAAAACTTTGGCAAGCTCACCCTTTAACTTGGTTGGGGAGGGTGAATGTGCTAAAAATGACAATCCTACCAAGAATCGTACATATACTATATGTTATCCCCATTTCTCTGCCACAAATCTTCTTCACATGCTTGCGACAGGCTTTCCTGACTTTTATTGGCATGGGAAGTGACCAAGACTGGCGTATGACATATTGTGTAGACATAAATCAGTTGGTGGGGTTGGCATCCCAGATGTAGCATTTTACTATAAGGCTATGGCACTGGTGCAAATTTTGAATTTACGTCAGGATACCTCAACCAAAGTCTGGGTCCTATTAGAGAAAACAATGGCGGGTAGAAACCTGTCAGGGGCTCCTTGGATTCTGACTACTAACAGAGTATCAGACTGGACATTCCCGTTGATTTGGAACACGCTATCAGTTTGGAACAGACTGAATGTGGCAGGCCAGTTTGCCTCTAAGATGTCCACTTTGGCACCTTTCGGAGGTTTTCCCTGGTTTTTACTAGAGGAGGATTCTTGGTTTTTCCGCTCCTGTCGAGATAACGGAGACACTACCTGTGCAAAATTTGCTCCCCTGATAAACTATTGCCCTTTGGTGTAGTGCAATCCATATATGGGTATTTTCTGCTAGCTGAGTGGAGATTCTGTCAAATGTTGGACTTCTTTGATAAACTTGTGTCCAAACTATGATCGTGGGATACTCTTTCCCCATTTGAGTCCATGTATACAAAACATCCTCTAGAAGTACTACTCTAGACATCTTCTCTCTCATATGGACCAACTTGTACTAGGCACCTATTCAGTGTTTGTTCCATATTACATCAGAAAATGGGTAAAAAAACTTGGATTGGAATTTACCCCCCTCAAATTCAGAAAACAAATAGATTAGCTCATAAGTCCTCCATTAACACTTGTATCCAAGAGTTGTCTTATAAATTTCTTACTAGGTGGTATAAAACCTCCTTCAGTCTGGCCCTGGCGTTTCCAATTGCTTGTTCTAGCTGCTGTAGGAGTTGTGACCAAGTAGGCATATAAGTCATATAAGAAAAGTGTCACCCCCCCTTCCCCCATCTGCTAAATGTTTAGAAATCCTTAATCCCACACTTTTGGAAACAGGCCATCTGCCTTTTCGATGGCTGATTGGAAATGAGAGATATACACTATATTAGAAGCAGAATGATGGGTACAAACAGTTAAAAGTTTTAATTTTTGCTTGCACATGATTGGATAATTGAAATCTGAACAGCTTCCCCTTATTGACTTAGCAAAGTAAAAATTCACTTTCCTCTAGTACAGCTTTCAAAATGGGAAATAGGATCGGATTATCTGAAAGGATTATAAAGCACTTTTTTTCCCCTTCGCTGTTTCATAACGTAGATTTACAATGAATTTCTTATATATCTAATTCACAAAAGATTAAATCAGTATAAGTTTACAAGATTTACACTAATATTAATATCTTTTGTAGTAAATTATTATTTATTAATATTACCAGATTCATGCAATAGGGCCTTGCCAACATTAATACAAAGTGTAGTAACTATAACCAGATTTACGTTCACAGCAGTTAAGATCAGATTAAATAATGACTGCTATATCTTGATGCAGTTAGTTCTCATTTTCTAATTTTATAGAATAGTATTATGTCATAATAATGTGGCTTGCAAAGCGGAACAAGCTTCTAAGTACTCCTGGTTGTCTGGATCTAGTAGAAGGGCTTTTTCGTATTACTTCATTGCTGTGATGTCCTGTCCTCTTTGCTGGTGGACATACCCAAGCAAAGCCTGTCCAGTGGCATCTATTGAATTTTGGACAATCATGGTTTCAGCAAGGCTTTCCAGTTCTATTATGGCAGTTTCTCTGAACCATGTTTGACATTGTATCTTTATCACTTCTTTAAAATGCCTTACTGCTTCATACTCTGATTTTCTAGAATTCATTAAATATTGTGCCCAGCTGAGATGGAGCTCTTGTTTCTGTTCAGATTTGATATATCATTCATGGTCAGTGTTTTGTCAAATTCTTCTTTTGCCTTTTGGTGTTCATTAGCTTTTATGTATATACAAAGCCAATAAAATGTTGTGCTGGCACAGATACCATGTTTAGCTCAACAGCCTTTTCTGAGTGAAATATTGCATTTGCAATGGCTTCAGCATTTTTCTGCCTATTGTAACGGGTGGGCTTTCTTATCAAATTTTTGTAACACTTGGCAATCTGATAATGAACAGAGCTGGAGGTAGGCGTTAAACTGAGTACTTTCTTAAACATTTCAATGGCTTTATTTATCTCATTATTTTGTCTGTAAAATGTTGCCACATATCGAAGAACATAAGGGGATTCTGGCTGTTCTTGTAGAGCTTGTTCTATTAACATAGCTCCCTGATCATAGTTCTTCATATGTAGACATTTCAAAGCAAAGAGAACCTTCACCGCTGTGTCGCTGGGATTTAATTGAACAGCTCGTTCCAAGAGTGGAAAAGATTTGTTTTCTGTGTTGCTACTGTATCTGAAACCTTCCATTCTATACACAGCCATGGCAAGCCTGAATTTGATTCTGGATCTTCTGGGTCAAGTTCTAGAGCTTTTTCAAAGCACTCAGCAGCCCTTTGATAGTATTTTCCTGTAAAGGATAAGTAAGTCCAACCTTGCTCACCATATATGTCTAAAAGAAGAGTTTGTTTCCTTGGAGGAGACTCATATTGCTTTAAAATGGTCCTCACCTTTTTAGCATAGGTCAAACTCTTGATAAACTGGTTCTGGTGGAAGAAAACCCAAGCAAAGTTACCATACATGACAGTTCTTTTAACATCTGCGTCTTCTGATTTGCTAGACTCTTGGATCTGTGCCTCAGCATTTTTGGAGCTGGAGCAAAGCTTCTTCATGGTCTCCTTTGAGATGCTTCAGGTAAGCCAGGAGGTTATACATCCTGTGTTTGAGTGCATCTGGCAAAAACACAGTCTGGTCATTTAACCTTTCTTCCACATTATTAATGTCTACATCTTCTCCCAGCAGGTTCCAAGTAAAATGGCATTGCAGTTCCAGTAGACGATCCCTCAAGGAATTCTCTAAGATGCCACTGAAAAGTTAGACAAAAAGAAAACCATCTATTAAAAAAAGTAATGTGCCGTTAATTGAAGACATGCTCCAGGATTATAAATGAGGTCCATACGATTGGCTAACTTGCCATATAATCTCATTGGCACTGTATTTTGTTTGATCGAAAAACATGTAATTGTTTTGGGTGACTGGAATACAGTATACACTAACAAACATTTCAGAAAGTGAGTAAAAAATTGCGCAATATTTATCAGTGTCTGAAAAATTTACTGTGTTACTGTCCACAGCAGCCTACTAATCCTTTGTGCATCCTTTCTTAATCAGTGTTCTCTGGAACACTAGGGTTCCTCTTGAGTTTGCTAGGGGTCAATCAATGAAGAATTTCTGTCTCAGTAATCACTGACATTAATGATCTCTTATTTGTCTGTGAAGAGGGTCCTCTCTCTACTGATCGACAATGTAAATATTCACTTTTCAACAGACCATTAACTAAGGGGGTGTTTCTCTACTGAACATCAATGTTAGAGGGCACTGTGGGAGGGGGGTTAATAAAATTAGTATTCTTCTGGGTGTCAAATACTAAGGTCTCGTTCACACCATGCATGCAGAAAAACCGATGGAAACTGATGCAGAGATTTCACTTGCAGAGACATCAGTTTTCATCAGCTTTCATGCACGCTTCAATGAGTTTTATACACATTGTAGATTCCTGCGCAGAAAATCTGCACATGATACTAGTGTTGTAGTGTGAACAGGGCACATAGAGAGCAATTGATTCCATTGTGCCCTTGCAGAACGTGTGTAGAAAAACTGACATCTCTGCACCGTAGTGTGAACGAGCCCTAAAGGTACACGGTATTCTATATTATTTTGTTTATTATATTTGCCACTCGTTGATCACACTAATGTACTATGAATAGGGATAGGCTTAAGATTGATCTGAACAGATTTTTTTCTGCAAGTGAATGGAAACATATTCTAGATGAACTATTAAATGAACATTGATCCTACTTTATTTTTTTGAGTTAAAGTCAATCATATTTTTTCTGTCATTTAATGGAAACAGAATCTAGTTACAGTACATGTTACATTTGTTTTAAGTTTTTTGGGCAAGCACAGTTTTACCATGCTGATAACTATACTTTTTTGGATCTGATATAAACTGAAACTTAACCTCCTATCCTGCTATCCAAAGAGGACAGCATTTATTTTAGCTTCTTTTTAGATCTGCAGTTGCTATGTTGCTGCAGATGTGATCAGATATAACATATGAGGGCATAAAAGATTGGCTGGAGTTTGTTGGCAGGTGTACTTAGCTTGCCTGTCACTAGATGACTCTGCTGCTAAGATGACATTGTAAGGGGAAAGTTATAAGCAGGTGTTAGCTCCCCTTTTAGAAAAACCTTGTACTGAGCTGATTTAAAGGGCCTGGTGCAGGGCTAAATTCCCAAGTGAAGTGGCGCAGATTGTGTGAGGACTAGTTGTAGTCATTTTGTCTACCCCTGACTTTCTTCTGCATGTCCTATAGCATGGTGAAAATGGCCTTGAGGGTCTGTACAAAGTCTTCTGAATTTGAGTAACAGTAAAACCTGGGAATAGATGTCTTCAGGAGCGTGTCTGGCTGGGCAAAGCTATAGATGGGACATTTGGAAGAGAGTGGCAGTATACTAATGAAAAGGATCTTGCCTTCTTGCCTCACTGACCCTCAGATGTGGGTCCCGTGGCTCAGTGATGGAAAGCCTAATGCTTATAGACTTAGTATACATGGGTAGGTCGTCCCAACTCTGTGATGCTCCCAGGGAGAGAAAAGCGGGAAGATGGCATAACTACATTGGTATGAGATGTCGGTTCATTAAATAGGAATAACAATGTTTTTGATCTCAGACAACTACTGTTTATGATGTCAGTGAAGAATAATTTATTCACTTTAAACTCTTATAGATTATAAGTATACTACCATACTTTTGCAACTCTTTGAAATAGGAAAGAGGGACACCAAAAAGAATGTAGGCAAAGGACACCCCTGCCACACCCCCATTACATGGAGAATGAATACCCCAAAAAATTATAGGATAAACCCCAATGTGTTTTTATGTCTATAAATCATTTATACTGACCTTAAAAATATACAAATGCAGCAATTTAGAAATTGGATAAAAAGTTTAGCACTGTAAAACACCTAGTGATAGGCGCATATTTATAGATACCTACATCGTACCAAAGTAAGGGTCATATTAAATGGAAAGATTGACAGAGGGACTTTGTTTCAAAAGATAGACAGTCCCTCCAAACCAAGGACAGTTGGAAGCTATGTACTACAGATTATGTAGTATGGGTCCATATTATTACACAAATCTGCATTATACTGTATGTACCAGGGGCATGTTTATTGAGTGAGTTGGTTACAACAAATTTTCAGCACAATGTATTTTATTTGTAACTTTTTTTTATGCTTGGTATACCAGTAGATTAAAATGGAAAAAACAAAAGTTCTGAATCTATTGCTACTTTGGTCTCCCTATAAGGTACTTTGTCATCACTGGATAGACCTCTGTTGTAGGAGAATGAAGGAGAATGTAGTAAAAATGTATCACAATCAGCAGGTGCAGCTATCAGTAGACAATGTCCCAGTGATGTTAGGACATATCCTCAAAATGAAACTCTTAAAGAAAATAGAAAACCAACATACACATGGCAATTACCAAGATTCATTAACATTTCAAAAACACATCACAAAAGCATAATAGAATAAATCAATATGCTAAAGTCTGCTGTCAGATGACTTCACTCAGCCAGTCCAAGCTGGGGAAAAATCCTGACCGTATGGTTGAGATCCACCCAGGAGCCTAGACTGGCACCTGGCTCAGCCCCTCAGTGAGCAGCTGAGAGCCTGAGCCAGCCGCTCCCGCCCCTCCACAACTCAGTGCTCCACTGAGCGTTGGGGGGCAGAGCAGAGAGCGGGAGAGTGACAGTCCTGGTTTTCTGCTCAGAGCGGCAGGGAGAACTGAGCTATCATCGATGTCTGATCGCTCTGTTCTCAACCTTAGAACCAGCGGAGGACAAATGTAGCATGGGATCAAAGCTGCATCCACCTAAGTAAGTATAATTACAAAAAAAAATCCCATACTTCTCCTTTAAAGACGTAGGCACTTTATTGTGTGTTACTAATCAATGCAAGTGTAAACCAGCCCTTACAGCAGAAAAGCAGACACAAAAGGGCATCTGATTCCGTGATCGCAAACATACATTTCCACAACAACATGGAGATCCAAATTTGGGTGCAGAAAAAGTAACACTGGGCAATGTTAATGATTGTAGAAATTTCCTTATCCACAATATGGCAATTCCAGTTTTGCCTTATCTAGCTTTAACTGGCTTTACACAGGTGCAGTCTGGGAAATGTGGTGCCAGAGTAGTAGTTTGAACTATAACCATCCCTGGACGGCAACTACAAGACCCGTAGACACCTGGGAACAGAAGGGGACAGATATAAGCAAAAGCCTGGGACAAGATCTGGGGCAGTTGGGGGGGGGGGGTGTTTTGGAGAGGTTTGGAGGGAGTCAGGGAGAGCGATGTACTGTGCCCGGAGAGAGGGCTTCTGTGCCGGATTTGCTAGATGCTAGAACCAGGAGGCTGAATCGGAGTGTGACTGCAACAGCATCGGTGACTCAGAACTCCTGCATCCAGAATCACTGTAAGGGTTGCCATCAAATCGTCTGTCGCCTTCACTGTACTGTTGGATAAGGGGGCCCACACCATTCAGTGCACTTGTCATTACTGGAGGATTGCCGAGAAGGGATCTGATGAGAGGATCTTTGACCCATCATTAAGCTTTAACCAGGGGCGGACTGACCATTTGGAAACTCGGGCACTGCCCGAGGGCCCGGGGTCAGTAGGGGGCCCCATGAGATGTCCCTGGTACCTTTTTTCATAGGCATTTTTGAGTTTGGGCAAGGACACAGGGGCCCCATGATCCCCTATTGCCCGGGGGCCCCATGAGTTGTCAGTCCGCCCCTGGCTGTAACTACCTGTTAGCCATCTTCAGCCCAGATTCATTAATAAGCTATTTCTATCTACTGACATGCTATATTTGAGACTCATGACACCCATTGATACAGTCATCACCAAGCCACAATGGGCACGATCATACATCCTTCATAAGGTCATTGATGTTCCAGAGTGTTTATTTTGATCTTGTTCACATCTGACTGCTATTGCTGCATAATGTCCAAGTCCCCTCTTCTCTAACTGCTGTATCCGAGCTTGCGTCACTCTTTGCACCAGTTGCCATAAAGGAGTTTCTACACCTACTGAGCCCAATCTTTATAATATACTGCTGTCGAACGCCACCTATTGATTCATTTTCATTACCCTGCATGCCAACGGTTTTAAAGGGCCCCAATACAGCTGTCAGAAGGTTCAACATAAAGAGTTGCCACAATCACTCTATTCTGAGGGCAGAACTGTGTTCTATTACAGAGTTTACATTTGAAGCCCTAAACCTAGCCCTTTTATTTGAGAGCTCTCAAGTGACATAGTCTGCTTATCTCTTTGTTAGCTTTGATGTTCGCTTGAGGTGTAACATCTCATATAGAAAGCTACCATTTACACCCCTTATGTTACATTTTAGGTTGGGATTTGACTTTTAGAGGTACCCCTGTGTGGTACGCTGTACCATAACTGTTGTGTTTATCTGCACTGACTTCAATGTGCCCATTTGCCTTGTTATATTTTGCGATCTTAATCTGCCAATACAATCTGCTTATCTTTTAAAGGGTGGTGTGTATAATTCCTGTTCATCTGCCGGGTGCTTCCAGGCAAGGTA